TCTTTGCTGCATCCCCAGGGCCTAGAGTAGTCTCTGGGTATACACTCATTAAAGTATTAGTTTATTAAGTAACTCATTGTTAATATTTCATAGCCACGTGTTAGAGACCTCAACATAGGAGCTCCACACCTAAGGAAACTCTGTCCCCTGGAAGGGTTGTGAAAATCCTGCCTAGGCTTTTGGCAGATTTGGCAGATGCTGCTTTTCTCTTTCAAAACTACATTAGAAATCCTTGTTGTACAACTGTGCCTAACATTTTATTCTAACCGTATTTGGATTTAGTTTTATAAATTATGTTTTGAATCGGGACAACAGACTTTTGCTTGTAAATGAGCTGATAATTGCCACAGGTAACAGCTTTTGTCACCTAGAATCAATGTGATTGTTCATTTTGTTAGAGATTGCTGAAATGAGCATTGTAGATTTTTTGGGGGTAATGTTTAATAGTATCTCCTTCAAATCACATTGCTTTATCTATGCCAAATTCCTTCTGGAAATAATGAAGTAGGGGGAATACCTTGGATCTTTCCTTTAAACCTGAATAAATCAGGTTTTATTTTGTTTTTCCCTTTCTCACATCAAACTTAGGTCTTTGCTGTATTAATTTTACCTATAGACGGCCATGCATAATAGATGTTGTAAAGCATCATCTCTACATAAAACTCAGACCTGGAATATTTACAGTAGGTGTCGATAACGTACAACAAAGGATCAACTTCAGGGCATGTCATTTTCAAAATCATTTATTGAACTCTCATGCCAGGGCCTAGTTTACACTGGTTAGCTTTTTTTTTTTTTTTCCCTGCTGAGCCATCAGCTCAGTGGCAGCTCAGCTCGGCCGGGAATTGAACTGGTGACCCTGTTGCTCAGAACTCGCACTCTTGAGCAAGCTCTTAACCAACTGAGCCACTCGGCCAGCACCCTGGGGCCTATTTTAGACACTAATGGGATAGAAGGGAAAAAAAAACATAATCTTGCTTATATTACAGAATTTGTACATTGATGTGGTTCAATCAAAATGCAAATAACATTATTTTAAGACATGTTCAGGGGCAAAAAACAGGGGCAGGATAAAATTTTAAAGGTGAAAGGAAGGAGAATAAAGCGACAGCAAGCACTACATTTATTAGTCATTGTCCTCCACTTGAAGACTGTAACATGTGGACCTACAGATAACCTTCATGGGCTATTTTTACTTTACTGCATACAATTTCCATGATTCTTGCAAATGATCAAACAAGTGATTCTTGACAACAGTGATGAATGTTTAAAGGTACAAATTTACACATCTTTCTCCAAACTGTATGTACAGTAGTTTTGCTAAATGTCTATGAATCTTTTGAAAAACATCAGAAATTTGGAAGGCCTAGAAATACTTCCGTTTCCTCCCTCAGGTTCAACAGTCACACATTACATTATTTTGTGGGACAAATCCTTTGACCTGTTCTTATCTGATGTTCTTCAGTTGAACACTTTAGTGCATTCACAGGATTATACATTTTACTAAATACATCACAAATAGCTTGAAGTATAGTTTCTCCATTTTCATCAGCTTTCATAGAATTCTTAATTGAATTTTTAAATTACTAGTATTGATTTTAAAAAATAGTTAAGTTTTTCTTAAGCTCCTGTTCCTGAGTTCCTTATTAGTCTTGTTCATACTAGACTAGAGGTCAGTAAACTTCTTTGTAAGAGGCCAGATAATACATATATATTTTAGGCTTTGCTGGCCAGACGGTTACTGTTGCAACTATTTGACTGCCTTTGTAGCAAAAAACCAATCTTAGACAATAAATATGTAAACAGATGAGTGTGGCTGTTTTCCAATAAAACTATCTATGGACAGTGAAATTTGAAGTTCATGCAATTTTCACATCTCACAAAATATTCCTCTTTTGAAGAACAGACAGTAGGCCGAATTGGGCCTGCAGACCCCTGCCCCAGACTCCGAGTCCAATACCAAGTTGTATGTCACATGTCCTCAGAAGAAGAAGGAATTTAAACATAGTCCAGAAAGACTCGTGTTTTACATGAATTACTCCATAATTATCAGTCATATATGAGATCAGTCACATTCCTGTTAAAATCAGATACAGGCACACCTCAAAGATATTGCTGGTTTGGTTTCAGGCCACCGCAATAAAGCAAGTGTCGCAATAAAGTGAATCGTAATCTTTTTGCTGTTGTGGGGGGGGGGTCTTGCCTTCGATTTGTAAAAAAAACACATTTGTGAAGCACAATAAAGTGAAATGCAATGAAACGAGGTGTGCCTGTACTTTATTTCAGTTACAAGATTAGTTCAGAAATCACTGAAGCTAAATAAATGAAGGGCTGAGGAAAGACTACAGTGTAAAAGTATCTGGCTATTAAAATTTTTGTTGCATATTGGATTGGTTTTCATTCACTTGAATTTTTATCTGCTTCCTTTAAAAATTTTAAATAAAATCACTCTAAAATTATTATGACAACTTCTCTTATTTTCATTGTTTTTTGGAGGGGCCACCTTTCTGCAGAAATGAGATTATACTCAGCAGGCAGGATTCTTTCTATTTCATGTGTGTTATAGGCCCAACACCGTTTTATTGAACTCCAAATAGTACCAGTTCTTAGTGGCTCATGTATTATCATTGTATTACATGTTGCTTAAAATAAGTATGGTTTAGGTTGGTAATCCTTTTGTTGAAGTAGACTTTGTTAGTTTAATGGCTTTTCTCATAATGGCTTTAGAACTGTATTACCATCTAAAGATGAGTTTCTGTTGCTTGCCATAGAAGTATCGCTATCTTCCTACCTTTTAAAATATATTTTGTACAATATCTTAGCCTTCTTTTGTTGCTTGCTCTTGAGCTTAGGCCAGCTTGACATGAAAATGTACTTTAGGGAGTCTCCTGACATAGGAGAAAACAATTTTGGAATCTCTGACATACAACATAATTTGTGTTCCTCTTGAAGGTAGAATGTTCCCAGGGTATTGTGTTTTTTTTCTGGGACTCTTGTTGGCGCTTGTTTTTCCTGTTTTATGCTTCTTTTCGGTTTGTTTGGTTTCCACTATAGCAGGTCTAGTGGGGTTTTTTTCTTCTTTCCATTAGTATAATTATCAGTGTTGGATGCCACTTAGCATAACTGCTCTTCCTGACCCTATCTTATACCACTGCCATCTCTCAGCACATTTTTTCACTTACGTCTTGACTGAATAGACCTTCACTCCCTCATTCACTCCTCCTCTGTTCACTTAACGTTACCTGCTTATGTCAGGTACAGTGCTAGGCTCCCGACCCAATGTTTATCCATTTCACTATCAGCTTGTCACTGCCCTACACTTCTCTCTGAACTGTCTCTCTTGTATTACTTTTGGTGTCACAGCTTCATCACCTTTTGTAGTCCAGTTCCTTACTGCTTTCCTTTAATTTTGACTTTTCCGCTTGAGACGTTTAATTCACCTGGCCTCCCCACCACCTCCCTCTGCCACTTGCCTACTGTGACTGTGGCACACAATCCCTATCTTTGGCTTGTGTGGTTCCATCCTGCCCAGGCTTCCGTTCCTTCTCCTCCTCCTTGACATTGCAGTGGGCCCATGGGTATTCATACGTGGCATCAGTGCACAGAAGCGGGCTTGATGGATGACGGTGGAGAATGGCTGTTCCCTCACGCCTGCCCTGCTGAAGCACAGCCCTGAGCCAGGAGGGTTTCTTCCAGGATCATGCCTTCAGTTCTCGGTGTTGGCTCACAGAGAACATTGGGTCATGCTTTCTATATTTGTTTTCCTTTCTGACTGAAACTTTGTGCAATATAACCATCTCTCGTGTCAGAAATGCCTTGTCTTAAAACATCATCGTGCTACTCTGTCCACACTGAATTACAGACACACCTTTTTCTTGGTTCAGTGAGAGTTTTCAGTGTGATGAAAAGAACTACTTTAGCTTCCTGCCAGGGGACTGAGTCCTGCCCTGGAGATGACTTGTTGAATTCAACAGTCTGTAGCTGGACATACTCATGGGTAATCAGAACTGGAAGAGACCTGAAGAATCACTCAGCTCTCCTGTTTTACATATGAGAAACTCAAAACCTCAACTGATGAGTGCCAAGCTCAGTGTCAAATGAGTGAAAAGCTAGGTCTCCTGATGCCAATTTGGGTCTGCTGATGCCAAATTTCTATTGAATCAACTGACTTTTCCATTGCATTGATGCAGTGAAGAGATGTTGATTAAAGAATGTCCTTTGAAATGACAAAATTGTGGGGTATTTTTTTGACACACAGGACAATGATTCATATCTCCCTGAAAGATCTCAGTATCAGTGACCTTTGACTCCCAAATGTCCTGATTGCTATAGAAAGCAGCAGTACCAATCTAAAATGGCTTGCCTTACAAACCCAGCAGTATGATTCCATGGCCTGGTATATACAGGGTAGCAACTGTCTAGAAAAATGAGACAGAAGACTAAGTGCCAGCAGTCAAATGTGCTCACTACACCAGCGATTGTCAAGTAGGCCACACGAAGGATGTGTTCAGCTGTTATTCATTTTTCTTGTTTCTTTCCTTCTTGTAACTGAGAATTACTACTTATTTTTTTTCTCCTGCTCATAAAGAAATCATAGTTTTAGGCCTTAAATATGATTTTAAATGTCCTACCATTTTGATGGAAATAGTATGACTTTCTTAAACCAGATTAGGAATTCTCGCAAGCACATCTTCTTAGCAAAATGTAAGTATGATTCAATAAAGTTCTGTAGGATGAAGGATTACTTCTGGGTTCACCAGAAAACGTGTTTTTTTTTTAACTTTATTGGGGAATAGTGTTTTTCCCAGGACCCATCAGCTCCAAGTCCAGTTGCTGTTTTCAGTCTCAGTTGCGGAGTTGCGGGGGGCACAGCCCACCATCCTATGCGGGAATCGAACCGGCAACCTTCTTAAGAGCATGCGCCCTAACCAACTGAGCCATCTGGCACTTAGCGGCAGCTTGTTCAAGTCGTTGTCTTCAGTCTAGTTGCGGAGGGCACAGCTCACTGACCCATGTGGGAATTGAACTGGTAACTGTGTTACTCAGAGCTCACTCTCTAACCAATTGAGCAACTCAGCTGCCCCAGAAAACTTTTAAACTGTTTTAATCATTTCACTCCTATCTCAGGGTAATGACAGATAGTCCAGCTTTGGGTTGGATTCCAAGTCAGATGAGGAATTGGAAAGACTTCGGGGGTATGTCGGGGCCTATGATTGTGTGTATATGCATTTACCTACATGTATATAGGTAAAATAATTTTAGCTGTGCTGCTCTTTCAGTATGATATTCACCAGGTCTAGCAACCTGTGAATAAACCATCTGTCACTTTGCTGCTCCGCCATTTCCTGGAGAGACGACACTTCCTCTTGGGCCTTCCATAGTGGTGATTCCAGCGCTCCAGGTACTTCTGTAGGTGAACATATCCAGGCAGTGCACTGGCATGACTTACCTTTTCCCTCCCATGTGGAGGAAGGTGTTGGAGGTGACAGTCCTTATGATGTGCAGTTTCCCATAGCCAGTGTGGTGAATAGGCTTATCCATAGGCCCTGGGGGAGCCTTAGGGGAAAGCTTAGTGATGCCTGCAGATTTTGGTTTAGGGATCCTTGTTGGGATTCTGCATGCTTCCTTGATCTTGAATTAAACAGAAGAACAAAGGGTAGTTAATGGCACAGTTGGTGGAGAAGCAGACATTGTTCCAGACATGGAGTCAGCTTGGAGGATTTGGCTGCTTTGAAAGCACAAGGTTCTGGGGACACATCAGATTAAAGGTCGTCAGGTTGAAAAAAATTTTTCGGTAAAGAAATTCTGCCAACATGAGTTGAGCGCATGCTATATGTGCATGGCCCTCAACAGTATATCTAGTACTAAATACAGATAAATAGGCTATTTTTCTTGCTTTTTGGCAATCACAGCACTGTGATGGGAGATAAGCAAAAATAGTGTCCCAAATTAATCTCAGAAGGTCATGAGACTGCCAGAGAAAGGCTGATTTCAACTGAGGGGTCATGAAGAAAGTAGCATGACTTGACTTGGGCTTCCAAAGACTTTGGATTTTTAACAGCAGGAATGGGAGGGCAGTCCAGAGTAAGGAAATACTTTTGACGATAGGCTAAGGGAATACTTTTGGCAATGTCCCTGAGGTAGGAGATCAGACACAGTTGAGAAATGAAGTGATTTCAAATTAGGTTGTATTTGAGAGATGGAATTGGAATGTAGACTGGAGCCAGACAGAGAAAATTGTACTGATTCTATAGACAGTGTGTGAGTGGCAGGGTGGGGGTGTGGAGTAGTAAGGACATGGGTTGGGGGGACACGCATTGTGGCGGTAGAAGTGTATTGGTATTTGTTCACTACTAACACATGAGGGGTGAGAGAAGACTCAACAGGTAGGTTGACTAATCTGGACTGGGAGAGTGGGTTGTAGAATGTGAAGAGTGAACACTTGGTTGAGCTCATATTCACTTAGAAGTATACTTATTTTATTTATTAAGGGAAAATGCTCTTGGATAAGAATACTTATTGTTAAAGAGATGGGGAAAAGGTCTCAGCTAACTGTACTTCTTCCATTATAATCTACAATTGATTGTTGTTATTATTTCCCCCTCTTTAGTTGCATCATCCTTTCCTTGCTATGAGCTCAAAAATATAAATCTTTAAAAAAATGCATTGTAGTTGTCATCATAGATTTCTCATACTGTTTCTATAGGAACCCTTCTTATATTGTTTTTCATTCTATAGGAATTTGTTTTCATGTTTTATTGTACTGGTAAAGTACAATGAAGTGCCTGCATCTCTTCAAGTAAACATTCACTTATTTAAAATGCCCCCTAACTTTTATAGCCACCATATTTAGATTTTCAAATAAACACTACACAGACTTGGCTGAAAGTTATGAGTCTTTTAATTAAGGATAAACTATATGGGTAATATGCTGTCTTTTGGTACCTTTGGTCAGTCTTTTCTAAGCTTAGGTGTAGAAGACTGGGCGTTCGTGTTCTTACTGACATTTTTTTTTTTTGTACTTCATCCTAAACATAGCAAATGAGATATTGATTCTCTGATTCAGTCTCCTCATTATCTAAATGATATTCTTACCTTTCAACCTGACCTCATGGTCTCATCTTCAATGCTGAAATGCTCACTGAATGTTTTTACCTCTCAGATAAGCAAAGTTTTTATTACTGTTCTTTTTTTTCAATAATAAAATTGAGTCCCCAGTATAAATTTGGTGACATGGGCAGCCTCAATGATGATTAGGAGAGTTTAGTTGTGTGTATCAAGGTTCCTAAAACTCACACCCACCCCGTAACTCATTCATTTTGTTGCTAGGAATTTTTCTAGGAAATCATCAGTGATGCAGACAAGGCTATTTGTTTTAGCATTATTTGTAGACTCCAATCATCAGGATAGAGTAAATGAACATCATAATCATATGAAAATATTATGCTATCTTTAAGTAATGATGCTTTTGAAGATACGCAGAAATGTTTATTCCGAAATGTTAAAAGCAGGATTAAAATCTATATATATGCTTTAACTATGTATGTTTGAAGAGAAAATACTAGGAGAACATTAGTGGTTAGCTGCGGTTAGTGGAGTTACAGAATTCTATTTTTCTTACATTGTCTGTATTCTCTACATTTTCTACAATAAGTATACAATTAGGAAAGGCAACACTAAGTTATATTAAGGGATAAAAAAGGAAGGAAACACTTCAGAGATTGAAACATTTCTGTAAACATCAACCACATTGTCCAAGCTGTCAGTGATGGACCAACTCAGCTCAGCTGGTCTTGTGACCATAGCATTAATAACAGCCTTTGCAGATAGGTTTCTGTGATGGCCTTTAATTTTGTCAAGATTTAGATTGGGTCCTCCTATTTAGTGTACAAAAATCTATGTTGGGATCCCATTTAATTTGTAGATTCCTGGACCTTACCCCTAGAAATTATAATTCATTTATCAATGAATACTACCAGTAATCCACATTTTTAATAAACTCTCAGGGTGATTCACTTGATGCTGGTGGTCAGCCTGGCACACTTTGAGAAACAGTCATAGTGGAATCTCCTTTAGATGGAAGCTTCAAGTTTTCTTTCACCTGGAACTCTGGCCTGCCTGGGTGTGGGAGGTTTAACACCGAAAGATCAGGACATCACTGCCCAGTGGGTACCTAGATGCTCATCAGAACCACCTGTGGGGCTTTTAAACCCCTGCAGATGCCCAGATCTCATCTCAGAACCTACCGACTTGGATTGTCTAGGAGTGGAGTACGGACATGTGAATTTGTAGTGAGCCCCACAATGCGGTAATTCAGAACTAAAATCTGTCCGATAAATCAATTGGTATGGAACACAGTATTGGTCAGGCTTGTTTCTTTGAAGGTATACTGAAATGTGTTGGTGAGGACAATGTGACTCGCGATAGTGGTCATCGCTAGGGCCACAGCTGCCCAAAAGTTATGGGGCTTCCATTGTTTCTACATCACTGATGCTGTGAGTTCCTTTTGTGTTCTTGACAACTCTGATTTCACTACATAGTTTTTACCTCTAGATGGCAGCAAAGGCTGGCTATTTTATTAGGACAACCCTAAATGTCATTCCCAAACCTTAAAAAAAAAAATGATGCTGTGTTTAAATTTTCTTGTATGAATTTTATACTTGGACATGTTTCAGTAAATGAGGTATGGCCCTTTAAAATGTGTCATCTCTTGGATCATTTTTATAGAACATTATGTCAAATATCTCTAAGAAAGGTTTTATCCAAATTTGGAGTGCACGTTGAAAGAGGAATCCATGCATATGGCTCTTTTAAGACCACACAGTGAATGTTCTACTCGGAGTCGGAGACTCCTGGGTTTCATCAGAAAGCAGATGTCTTGGAGGAGATTAAGGAAGTTGGAAAGCTCATTCATAGAAGAAAATATTTTTAAAAATGCTTAACTCGGTTCAGCCTGGAGATTGAGATTTATTTTAGAATGGATCACGAGCCTGACTGATGCTGAGTTCAATGAGGCAGAAGCATTGGTTCTGTCTGGGGAGTCGTAGGAAGAGAAGGAGCATGTTTGTGGAATGGATTCATGAATTTCTTAAAATGTTGGCTTATTTGGTCCGTAGGTTCTAAAAAGAGCTGAACAATCTGCAAGGCTTCCTCATTACAGTTAGTTATTAGATGGCCGTGAGTTTTAGTGACCAAAAGAAGGGCAGAAAGGTGAAGGTGTTTTGAGTTTTATTCAAAGTCTTAGTTCTACAGCCTGGTCTCCCCTTGATCCGTGTGCTCATTCAGATTATCATGGAGGGCCAGCATCTGAAAATGTACTAGAATAAAATCAGCTGTGGGCAAGTTATCAGATCCTAGTTAGACAGCTGGAGTCAGGATGTTTCCTTTTCTCTAAATGAAATAATTTTGTAAGTGCTTTGAACTTTTTGGAGATGTATTGGCAACATATTGTGTAAGAAAGCAGTTTCCCCTCAGTAGTGTCCCTGACTTCAGGGGCTGCAGGGCCCTCATTGCAACTTTAGCCCTAGAGGCTGAAGGCTCAGGACTCCTAAAGACCTGGGATGGAGCAGGCGGGTCGGAATCAGGGCTGCCTGACTCCCTCAGGGACCCAGCTGTGGAATGCTGCTCAAGGCTGGGTGTTATCAGAATGACAGTGTGTTGTATTTTTGTTTTTATCTCTGTTTAATGGGAAAGTGCCTAAGTAATGATGATGGATATGGTGATGAAAAGGAAGACATGCGAAACTGGAGAAAAAAATATCTTTGAAATATTGCCTTCTTTTTCTGTTGTCTTTTGTATTATTTTGGTAAACCACTGCTAATTTGTAAAATAAAAAAAAAATAAAAGGAAATAACAGATAATGAATCTGGCAGACAGCCTAGTTTCATATGCTGCTTTAGATTTTCTCAGAATTTTCTCATTATACAGTAAAACTTCATCACTAAAGATTTTGTAGTTTTATATGGCAAGAGGGCCTTTCAAAAGGAAACTCTGTAGTTTGATTAGCTCATTCCCATTAACTTCCTGTGAGAGAACATTTGGTTTTAAATGTTTGTTGTTAAACAAATGTTTAAACATTTGTTGCCATGCTATGATTTACATTAAAGAGTTGTCCAGTTTCTGAGGTGAAGGTTAGGGGAAATTGATGCCTTTATTTTATAATGTAATATGGTTTTTGGTTGTTCCTAGTCACTCCCAATCTCTCCATGGTAATTACACCATGGGCAGTGAGGGTAATCCAAGAATAAACATTGAAATACAGTTTTGAAAAACCCTTCTTAACCCCAGTTGCTTCCCTTTTGTGCCCAGACACATAGCATTTCACGTAGAAGCGGTATGTTGAAACAAAATATACTAACCTTGAACTGTTGTCTTCCTTATTTATCTTTTTTCTTTTTATTCATCTGTCAGGTTTTTCATCTTAGAGTTTTTTTGTTGTTGTTTTTTGGTATCCTCACTCTTCTTTCTTATTCCTTCATTTGCACCCATTGAATTATTTTTAATCATTTTCAGGCTCACGTTTTACAACAACCTGGGGTTAGTAGCTAGAGCGTGGACTGTGGAGCCAAATAGACTTGGCCTCCATCCTGGTTCTGGTACCAACTAGATGTGTATCCTTGAACGAGCCAGTT